CATTGTCATTTTACTGTTTCTTGAAGTTTTTGTGATTTCAATTCTTCTATCTCCTATGTGCATATTATTGTTACTTTATTGTTTATTATTGATTCATTATCTATTTGTTTGATGGTTACTATTGATTATTACTTTGATTTATGTTAACTTTTAGGATTCTTGATAATTTCCATAAGCTTATCTTCAATGTAGGGTTATGGAAGATCTTTTTTAATTCATTTATCTTGTTGCCAAAGATATATGTTGAGTTAAGATTTATTTCTTGTAAAAGATTGTCACATCAACTTCTAGTATCTTAGCTATTATACTATCTAAGATAGTACAATATATGTTTTTAGTAATGAGGCTAATGGTTCATGAATTTATTATTTCTTTGTTTTAGTATTATTGTAAGGTTCATAAAGTAGAGTATTCATCATATTTTATTAAGAAATTGATTAAAGTGTTTACTATATTCTCTTTTCTTTTACTAACTATCTGTAATATATATTGTGCTCTATTCATATTTACTATTAGTTTAAATTTATTGATAAATCATATGATTATTTATTTATATTTATCAGTTATTTTATTTTTAGATTATAAATAAACCTTTCTGAGGTTGTTATTGTTTATATTTTTGATTAAAAAATATGGAAAAAATCTTATTATATTATTTTTATGTATTTATTTGTTTATATTGAAAATTCTATTCAAATTTTACAAGTTGTTATCATGTTTGTATAGAATGTTGATCAACTTGTTTAGATCACAAGTTATATGTATATGTATATATTTTGTTTGTTGCTTTTACATGTATACTTGTTTTACTTGTCTACTTTTACATGATAATATTTATATGACAAGATGGAGGATAGATATGTTGTTTGTATATATATACATTTAGACTATCTTGTCCTTAGGGAGCTTTGATATCTTTTTTAGCTTTTAAGTAATTGAAATAACTTGATTTATTAACCTTTTTCAATTTTACTTAAAATTTTGAATAATATAATTCTTATTAAAGATAATTATTTAATATAAGATATATTAATTTATAGAATATAAATAAACTTTTATCAAACATATTTATATAATCCAATAATATTAATAGTAATTAAAAAAATTAAAAAAAAATTTTTTTTTTAAAGTCAAAAAGTTTTTTAATAAAGTATTTATAATACTAAAAAATAAAAGATAAATAATATAGTTTGTAAACTTTTATTTTTACTAAATTTATTATATAATAAAAAGATTTTATTAAATAAAAACTAATGTCTTTTTATTACTTTTAAACTATTTTAATTTAATATTTATTTAAACAATAGATCTATTGAATTAATTGATTAAATATAATAGGTAATAATAAAAAAAAATCTTTTTTGTAATTTAAATTGAAGTAAAAAGAATATCCTAATTAAGAAAATTTTTTTGAGAAAAAGTTATAATTTTTTATTGACTTTTTGAAAGAATCTTGAATTGGTTTTTTTTTTCTTTCATTATTTTTTTCTTCTTTTTTAATTTAACAATTTGTAATTTTTTGAATCAATCAAAAATTTTTTTTTATAATGCTGGCTCAGACTTGTTTTATTTATAGTTATACAGTATTATTATATAGAAATTTTTTAAGATATACTATTAGTCTATTACTAAATAAAACTCAATAGAAATAGCTTCTCTTAGAAGATACTCATCTTGTAGCTTGTTACTATCTAGCTAATTTGTTAAGGCTATGTTAATGTTAAAATAAATTTTGAAAATATAAAAATTGTCTATTGTATTTGTTATCTATTAGAATATAAATTTATTGATACAATTTTTATTAGTAATATGCCTATATATTTATATAAGACAATTGCCTTGACTAAATTGCTTATATTATTATTTGTATACAAATAAACAATATATATATTAATAAGTACTTATATATCTTTTTTTTTTTAAGTACTCGTAGCCAGGCTAGATCGTCAGTTTATTAATCAAATGAAGACAAAAGTACATTTTCATTCGAGTAGTATGATACATATTACAGTTAAACTATTATTCTAATCTAACAAACTCGTCATAAGCATAAAAGCCTCTAAGTTCAGCCTTGGAGACAATATTTCACTTCGCAGTGTCTTTGGGTGAAGACTCTCTTAGTCCACTGCATCATTGCCAGCAGGTTGTCACTGCTGTATATCTGGTCAAGCCCTATAGTTTTTATTTAAGTTATTCAGTGGGTCAGAATCACTGTCGTATGTGCTTGTACAGACAAAGAAAGGTGTAATGTGTCGACTGTGTATATTCTCAAATAAGCACTATATACATCAACTATCATAGTAAACTATAATATATATGGCTAACTATATTGATTATACTATATATATATAAGTACTACTTCAACAGAAAACCACATGATTCTATCTTAATTATTCCTTACATATTTTTATATTAAAGTAGGTAAATTATCGAACCATCGAATACAATATCCTGGACCCAGTATTTTGGTCCTTTGAAGTAGACCACGATTTCTCTTCCCACCAAGGCCTCCCAATAGTTAAGTCAGTAAGCAGCACAAAGATTAATACTTGATTATCAGTGGCATCCTACCAGTTTAGAGATCTACTTTTGTGTTCATTACTATATTCGCTTCTATACAGTAACTAATGACATCAGAATAATCTTAGCCGATTTCAGATATCACAGCTGATCACAATACTTATATAGACCATACTACTTATCAATAGGTATTCTTCTCCAATAATTCCTTAAGACAAGTAGCTATATTTAGAAACGTCGGTTAGATATAGTTAGGCCAACGGATGCAGATTATTATCAACTTCAGATATTGTTATCTGGAGGATTTGAACTTATATCTTATGATCAAACCTACAGAGTGTTAACCACTCACTATAGACCCATAGATCAATAAGTACTTATATATCTATTTATATTAGTAATCTATATATATATATAATTATCTATATGGAGTGAAAAATCACTCCCAAAGTTGCACTTGGAGTAATTACTGAGACGAGTGAGCTAGTTAAAGTTTTAGCTTTAGCAATTCATACTATATGTACAGCTTAATAAAGCACACATAACTAGCCTGACAGAGGGTTTAAAAAAAAATATATATATATATAATTATCTATATTTTACTAACTATGTATAAAAACTACTTCATTAGAAAACTATATAATTTCTTCTTAGTTTTTTTCAGATCAGTTTTATTAAGAATAGTTTAGTTATCAAGCTATTGAATTTTTTTTATTTTGAATTTGAATTTTAGTTTTTTAGATTGGTTTGTAAATTTCTTCTTCCATAAAGATCTTTCAATTATTAAGTTTATATGTCAAAATATAGATATATACTTGAAGTCTTGAAATTGAATAAGATCTTTAGTTGATTATTTCTCAATGGTATGTAACCAGTTTAGAGATATATTTTTTTTATTATCAGTAAATAGTAATGTGATTTTATTATGAATAATTCTATTTGATTTCGGATAGTAACTTGATTATAATCTTTGTATAGATTATTTTATGTTATAGAGATCTTGATTTTTAACAGGTCTTAATAAAAACTGTCAATTGTTTTGATCTATATCAGCTATACTTGAAACATCAGTTAGATATGATTAGGTCAATAGATGATTTGTCAGGTTCTACTTATTTTTAATCAGAGAAATTATATTAATCTCCTGGAGGATTTGAACCTACATCTTGTAATCTAACTTATGGAATGCTAATCACTGTACTATTGATTTATAGATCTTTTGAATCAATCAGTAGTAACAAACTATTGATAATGAATTTAGAAGATATAAGTTAAATCAATCTTCTAGAAAAGTAAGACATTATTCCTTAAATATGACTTGGAATATATAGATACAGTAATGAGTTGATTGCTTTTGTAAAAATTTGTAATATTGTAGTTAAATTATATAAATCTCTCAATAAAAATAAGCTAGATAATATAATTGTGAAATAAAAAATTTTTTAATTAAAATAAATTATCATTAATTTAATTATTTTAATATAAAAATTTTATTATATAAATCATCTGCAATTCAAAAATATTATGCATAAAAATTTTCAATAAATTATATTGGATTTGCTATTAAATAATCAAACAATAATCATATATTACAGTATATAATTTGAAATTTATTTATTTAAAAACTTCTTGATATGATAGAAAATTTATTGAATTAATAAATTATAAAATAGTCTTAAATAATAAACGAAGAAAAATTGCGGTTTGTTTATTTTTTTTTGCAAAAAATACTTATGTAAATATTAATTATTAATCATAAACTTCACCCGGTTTGTAAGCAAATGTATTCGAACGTCACACGGTGATTTTTCTTATACTCGAGTTACTTATATCGACTAATGCGGTCAAGAAAATTATTTGTAAGCTTATGATACAAAGCAATAGTAATTTCCAAATCCTGTTCCCATTTAAGCAAGCGCTAGTTATCAAAAAAGCTTTATATTCAATTGCTTATAAAAGTGCAATACCTGACTCACGCACGCACGCATAAATTCTTCTAATTCTCCGTTATAAGTAATCTCGTGTGATAGCCGGTCGGTGTCTTGAAATCCCGAAGTTCCGATTGTACGTCATTTAATGCATAATATACAAACAATAGAAAAGCCACTAAAAACCTCTATAAATTCGGTATTGTTTTCTCCGTCTTCCGTTCTCCATTCTCATTTACCAAAATTCACTAATCGCACAGTCACGATACTTGAGTTTTTCGATAAGTGTATTTTTTAACACCGGTAAAATTTCGAAAGTATATAATCTTGTTTCAAGCAGTCGCTACAGTATCTTCAAAAAAAAAAAAAAACGAAATTCTACTATCCATAATCGGAAATCCTCATCGCCAATAATTTATCCGGCAAGCATTTAATTCATAACTTTAATGTCATTTCTTTAATTCGAAGTAACTTCCTTTTTACCCAAAATGTAAATGACACATCTGATTGACACATTGTAGGCTGAATTCATCACCGAACCTCATTCGTGCAATGTCGAACCCAGTTGAATCTGCTAAAATCGATAGGGAAAATCTTGGTGGCACGGATGATAATGGTGGTGGGAACAATCAGCAGACACTGGTGAAAAGAAAGAGATTAACTCAAGCATGCGACGCGTGCCGAAAGAAAAAAGTTAAATGCAGCGGCGAAAAACCTTGCAATAACTGTACGCGACTTGGCCTAAGTTGCACATATTTGCCGAGTACTAGAAAAAGGGGACCCCGAGTGGGTTTGGTGGAGAGTTTGGAAAAACGCCTTCTACAAATGGAGAGGCTCTTGCAACCACTAAAAGAACAAGGATTGGTTGATGAAGAATCTGATAGTCAAACGCCTGGTCCTACAGCAAAGAAACCTCGATTAAATTCTACCGAATTATATTCGGCAGATAGTTTTGCCAATGTCGCGGACAATCGACTGTATTCAAACCCGAATTCATCTAAGCAAGATTCACAACCCGAAGAATGCATAGCTCATTCAAAAGACACGAAGTCACACTCGGATTTTCAATCACCCGCGACTCGATTCAATAGTCACTCGGAGCAACTGCATAGCTATTACTCGCAATCACCTCAATCTTCATCCTCATCACCTCAATTGTCCACACCTGCCGAACATCATTCTCCCGTAATGGAACAAACCAAAACCTGCGAAGAACCTCAAGACGAAACAATTCCTTTGATAAAAGCAGAAAACGGTGACGAAAGGACTTTAATATTTTTTGGAAATACTGCCGCTGTCCCAGGATTTCGAGATGTAAAAGACCTCGAGTCTTGCCATAAGAAGGTAAATGATATGGAGAAAACCCTTCGAAAACAAATGTCCACCAGCACGACTTCCGAGAAAGCCACACCAATAATGACACCTCCACCGATGCATGTTTCTATGTTGAACTGGCAAAATGGGCACCCGACGCGTGACATCGTGGATAATCTCGCTTCATGCTTTTTTCGGCATGTCGATAACCAATTTCCCATGCTTCACGAGGCGACCTTTAAACGTCAACTGCGACAGGGAAAAGTTTCACCTTTCCTTGTCCTCTCTATGTGCGCTGTGAGCGCGAGGTGAATATGAATAATACCCATTTATACTTTGCCAACTTTAATTTCCAATTCGCTCACGAATTTTTTTTCACCTCAGATTTTCCGACCATCCCCGAATTAAGGTCGATCCACCATATCTGTCGGGAGAAAGGTTCGCGACTCTTGCAACTCAGATGATAATCCCATCACTCGATAAACCTTCTGTGGAGCACGTTCAAGGTAAATTCATCTTAACATGAAGCTGCATCATGCCAACGGTTTGTTTGATTTCTTATTAATAAAAGATGATGCTCTTCAATACTTTTTAAAAAGCATTCATTCTACTCACCGTGCATACTTATGGTTCAACAAAGGGGCCAAGAAGTTGGGCGTACATCGGGATGGCGATAAGGTTGGCATCTCATTATTATCAGTTCTCCCGTCTTTTTTTTTTTTTTTTTTTTTTTTGCATCTTCACAGATATTTTTAAATTTTAAATTTAAATATTTAAATGCAGAATGGCTCAAGAATTAGGGTTGCATAAGGTTGACGATCCATTTTCCAATGCATCAAACAAAAAGGATTCCGAGCAAGCATTCATCAGAAAAGAGACTCTAAGGCGTACTTTCTGGGCATGCTTCATGCTGGACAGGTAACGAAAGAATTGGGTTGAACGCAAAGGTGACATATTTTAGTCTAGAAGGATCGCAAATTTATCTTTTTTTTTATGACAGGTTTTCCGCATGCGCGCTGGGTAGGCCAACATTGATAGTAGAAGATGACTGCGACGTTCGATTCCCATGTGTAGAGTCAATTTGGAACAACGATCATCCGTTCGCAAGCCCAGCGTTTGGTGAATATTTCAAAGAAGATTATATTAAACATAGCACTCTCTTTAATCTTTCCACAACAGGAATTTTTGCGAACTTCTGTAGTATCATCACTTTGCTGGGCCGGGTTTCTCAACATGTTAATCGTTCCAAGCCATCATGTGCCCTTCCTTCATGGGATTCAAACTCGGAATTCGCAATTTTGGAAAGTGAGTTGGAAGAATGGTATCTGAAAATAGCACCCGAGTACGAGTATTCCAAAGAGAAGTTAATTATATTTAATTCTACCGGATCCGGAGTTTTATTTGCGTCCACTCATTTGTTTTACTACGCGGTCGTGGTTGTCCTTAACCGACCAAACTTTATAGCGCTACAGAACGACGATATTCCAATGATACATAAAGATTTCTTGTTGAGGTCAGCGGAAAGATGTAGTACCGCTGCAAAACGTGTCACCTCTATCGCCACAGACGCAATTCAATACGGAATACATTACATGTGTCCATTTACCCTATATCCGGTGTTTGCAACGGCAACCATTCATGTCAATGATTCATTCAACGAAGACGAAAGTGTAGCCAATAAGGCCAAGGAAAGACTGAAGATACATAAAAAATACATGTCCGATTTGGGACCAATTTGGGCGATGGCTAACAAATTGTGTTGGATGATAGAGGAGATGTGTAACTTAAGAAATGAACAGTCGGATCCAAAATGTAGTCACGACGCATTCTTTTTTAATAGTAAGAAACGCACCCAACCCAGAACTGAATTGATGTCAACGAGCACCGACGCAGGTTTCATGACACTCTGGAATCGTACAAACAATAGCATACTGGAATCCAATGTTAATAACAACAGTACATTTGATGCGAGTTTCTCCGATCAATTGTCTCCACGGTGGTTCTTGAATGGATTTAACGATAATTCAATAATTGGTGATTCGTTGACGAATTTCCTTCGATCGCAGTTACCAATCTCTCCTGGAAGTTTGATACGATATAATAAAAAGGATAATGGTGAAAACGAAGATGACTATTTCTCACAAGACATGACACTATACGGCAATAATAATCTATCATATATGTATGATCCTGCTATTCTTGATATGCCCGTTGGTCAAGCCATCCCCGAATGGTTACCGGGAAGGTTCATACAGTCAAATCGTCAAACCAATAAGCAATGGATCGACGTTGACCCGATGATTCAGAATTCCGTGAATCCAATTCCTTTACCATCGAATGTTATCGAACATCTGGATCGACATATATAAGGAGAGAATCGGAGTAGGGGATATACGGGGGGGAGGGATGGAGAGAAATAGATAACCTGCATTCGGCGACATCGATTTGTTGTATAAACAATTTCGTACTTTCATGTAGTTGAAAATGTTTGATAACTTTATTGTAGTATACTTTTTGTATTTTTCACTCGATTCATGTAATCAATGTAGAAAAGAAAAAAAAGGGACACGCACGCGAATCCCTATAAACTTGGTCGTTTGGGGGGGGTCGACGTGAAAATGTATTCTCATGTATTATCCGGCATTTTGTAACGAGCACAGTGCAAATTCTTAAAAGTCATATTTATTTTGAAATACAGTAAGTACGTATTTATAGAAAATGATACGTATACGATAAATTGACGCGGTTACTGAACTGTCAATGTCCCTATATCAAAGCAAGTTAAGGACACAACACGTTCAAGGTAATTAGAGACAAGCTGACGTTACAACAAGAGATGCTTTGATAAAATTCGATTTCTTTCCTCTTTTCCCTTCTTTAAGACAAATAACATGCTCGACATGCATATATCACTTGTAGTGTCAAACCGGCTGTAAAAACAATCGTATAATTAAGAACATTATTCTGATTCCCTCCCAGGCATATTAACGCGTGACGTGTGTCCACAATTCAACATTGGTCCTCTATTATGGCGAAAAAAAAAATATGATTTTTTTTTAAAAAAAAAAAACATCAATAAAAAGAAATAACATCACCCTCGTTGAAATCAAAATACATTTTCGTGTGGCGGATCTAGAACTTGAAACTTCTCCGAGAGTTATGAATGGGACATTGCCATCAACCTTTTTCTCATGCCCAATAGAGTAAGTAATTAAATGGACAAATGTGAGTCGAAGGAAGTGAAGTTTTTATACGCGCCAAAGTGGAATGTAGATAGTTACTTCCTTCTCTTCTTGCTTGTGCGAGTCTTCCTAAGTTTCTTTTTCCTTTCGCATCCCTCTGCGGGGCTCAATGACTTTAGAACCATGCAATAAAGCACGTGAACAACAACAATAGTTTGGTTACCCTCATTCGGCTTAACGGTGGCGGGTTTTCCTTTCTGTATACATAAAAAAAAACCACACTCTATATACTGCACATGTGCACGTGCAATGTCTAGCTGAATCCATTTTAGAAAAATGTTCAAACCTCATTGATAGACATTTTCAGACTGAATTTTTCCACCAAGGAATCCTCTCTAACCAAGAACGGCTGCTCCTTGCTCTTCTTTTCTAATTTCTCTGGTAAGGAATCTTCGCGCCTGGATAATGGAACCTCCTCCGGAGGTGCATTGATGGCCAAATATTCTTGATGATAATATTTAAAATTAGCAATGTTGAATATTCTGTTAAACACGTTGTCCGGCATGTGATCTGCTGCGAAACGTCCTAAACCTAACGCTAAATAGTAAATAAATGTCAAGGCACCGAGACTGACGTGACTTCAGATATTGTACCGGTTATACCACTACCTGTAGAGGGATCGACTGTTTTCAACGTATATCCTGTCGAAGGATTCCAAACGACGTTTTGATGGTGACGATTAAATGCGGTGTGTAGGTAATGGAGATTGTTTACCTACAGCATTTCACGAGATGTATTTGTTCATTAGTAACATTCTGTTGAGATGGGGGGACAGGTGAGATCAAGGGCTGGATGATACCAGACGATTTTCAAGAATTGACCTCAAATCTGGAGCTTGATATATGTTGCCTCCATGAATATAATAATCTTCCAAGTTGTATGCTGGTGTGATTGATCAACGGTAAGAAAAAGGTCGTCATCATTTTAATCACGTACTGTAAAACAGCACCTTCATTATATGCCGTTCTATTTCGTTTCTGAATTACAAACAAAGCTGGCGAAAGGGGTTCAACAGCAACATACTCGACTCCTTTCATTTTCCTTGTATTATTTATTGGCACGAATTATCATTTGCATCACACATAAAGCGACACGAAGAATTAAACGAAAACATGGTTTTACCTCAACTTCTTCTCAATAGGCTCATCTAAGAAGCGACTTGTCATCTTTAGAAGCTCGTTGTTGCATCTCCTATCATAAAATGGGGATGATGAAAAATAGTCCAACACGTTCTCATTATTCAACGGTCCATTCTGACATAAATCAACACGTGAGGCGAATGTTGTATGTTTAAATATGCAATCAATGCAATTCGGTTCACTAGGTTAGGTTACCCACCCGCAGAAACCAATGGTCATCACGGAATACTATTTGTTGAGGATCCGTAACGCTTATTTCTTCGGCGTCCATAGAAAAAATCGAAACAAGAAGAAATGGAATTATTTGTAAAGAGTTTTCGAAAGCGAGTTTCACGTTCACAAAGAAAACGTGTTTTGAAAATCACTCTATTACGATTTATGCGTGACGATGTTTTATCGAGTGATGTAATACCGGAATAGATTAAGACTCCCTATGGGTGGCTGGTATTATTATCGAGTGATCAAAAAGATTTTATTTTATTTTTATTTTTTTTACTTTTAAAACATAAAGGACGTACGGACGTTTCCGTGTAACAACCGCAGAATATATCTTTGAATTCAAGTTCAACAAATAAATCCTGTCAGTTATCGAAAATATTTCTCGTGTGTGACGTTCAGGTGATCTTGTTTATTTCATTTCACCAAGGTATCTCACGAAACGAGAGACGAGAGAGATTCTCGAACAATCCGACAACATTACTGTTATCCAAACATCCGTCGTGAAAAAACCTTCTCGCTAGGACCTCGGATGAAAAGAAATCCTTGATGCGGTGTCCATCTATCCAATCATTCAGAGTCTTAATATTATTTAACCGATG